GACTGGAAGGAGTCTTTGGCTTCAGACTTGGGTTTGAATCGAGACTGTCGCCTGATTGGTAGTGTTTACCAGTTCCTGTGGTCTGTCTGTTGGTGAATTTCAATGGGACGTCACTGGGAAGAGAAGCACAAAGTCACCGCTCACGCCTGCGTGGCGTGCTCCGGCTCACCGGTGGCAGTGTCTCTTGCTAGTTGTGCAAACTGAGGCGGGTGATTTAACCGTCATAATTTCAGTTTCTTCATCTATCAAGTGGGCTAACGACACCTTCCGCATAGTATTGGTGTGAGGATTAAATGACTTTCTGTTGTCCCCACTTATGGAATCTGTAGAAATTCCTTTCTCATTCTAATTATTTGGTTTCGTGTCTATTTCTCCAATGAACTAAAAAATTCCTTAAAAGCAGGGACCAAGTCACATTTGTCTTTGTGTCCCCGATGTCTAGTACAGGGCCTGGCACATAGTAAGTGCTCAATAAATGTGTCCCTTTTTCAGCCCTAAGGTACAGCCCTGTGAGAGATTATGTGGCGGGGATTTTCAGTGGAAAACAGCCACTTCTAGAGAGGGCCCTTCCCTGCGGTCTCCACCTCTGAGCTCTCTGGCTCTTTCTGTGGCCAGTGAGTCACCCGCTCTTCGGCCTGGCCTTTCTCTCGCAGCCCGGTGAGGGTTGACTCGCTGACCCCTGTGTGGATCTCTCTGGAGGAGCCAGCAGAAACCTTCTGGGTCAGATTTCAGCTTTCCAAAGGCTGTGGACCATGTGAGGGCTGGTCGTCAGAAGGACTACCCCGAGTGTCTCCCTTGGGCTACCTGGAGCTCCTGGTCAGGAACCTTCATCAGCGGATCTCAGACGCCAAGGTTAAATACCAGCTCTACCCTCACTGGTGCGTGACCTTGGCCGATTACTTACTCTTTATAGTTGTCCTGAGAACCAGGTGAGACAATTTACATGAACCAGCTTAGAACAGTGCCAGGTGGTACATGCTCTGTGCACATTGGTGAGACATAACCCCAGCTCTTTACAGCAGACTGGACGATCGGAGCCCAGCTCATTACTCACTGCAGACAGGCCCACAGTCCCCTAAGTCCTGTTCTGACATCGAAAAAGCTCTGAAAGCTCGAAGCTCTTTTATTTGTTTGCAAGAAACTAATTTGTTGGCAAAACCTGACCTAATATTGGCCTGCTTATAGTCTTTATAACTCTTACTCAGTATAAGTATTCAGTTCACATACACAGTTCTCTGCAGCTCTGTTAGGCTGTTTAATCAGGAGGTGTTAGCCCTGACCTCCGGGGGGAATTACACAGTATAAAGTATCTGCACTCTAATCTCTCAAAAATTTGAAAATTCTAAATCCTGAAATGCATCAAGCTCCAAGGGTTTCTGATGCAGGATTTTAGATCTGTTTTAAGTTCTTCAGAATTCATGCCTTGAGTTTTAAGAGGAAGTTACGGTCTTTGGATATGAAGTCTCGAGTAATAGGATAACTACTAACATTCCTTTACCCAACAAATATTTATAATGGTTTAAAAATAATGCAGCTCCATCTTTATTTTAATCGCTGTGGAGTGTCTCTGAATGCCCGTGATAGCAAATGGTATAAATGTGTATCGGTCTTTGCTGAAGCAAGGTCTCTGCCTTGTTTCATCACCTTCTCAAAGTTATCCAAAGAGCAGTACAGTAGTCCCCCCTTATCCACAGAGGATACGTTCCGAGACCCCATGTGGATGTCTGAAACCGGGGGTAGTACTGAACCCCATGTATCCTATTTCCTACACACACACACCTTTTCACGTAAAGGAGGCACTTCGGGGCTTCTCTTTGGCACATCCAAATTGCCAGCGTCACTACTCTTGCTCTTTCGGGCCTTTATTAAGTAAAATAAGGGTGACTTGAACATAAGCACTGCAGTACCGGGACAGTCGATCTGATCAGCGAGGTGGCTCCTAAGTGACTGACGGGCGGGGATATGCTGGATAAGGGAGGATTCAGCATCCCGGTGGATGGAGTGAGGTAGCACAAACTTTTACCACACTACTCAGAACAGCGCACAACTTAAAACTTACGAATTGTTTATTTCTGGAAATTTCCATTAATATTTTTGGACTACAGTTGACCATGGGTTAACTGAAAACACAGAAAATGAAATCAACTACTATATTTGAAAAGTCTAGATCTTATTTAAAACCTAGATCCTCACCACAATTGCCAATTATTTGGCTAGAGTTGGCTTAGATGTTCTTGTAGCACCTTGACTGCATCAATCAAGCCAACAATCAATATCGGAAGTGACATAATTGGAATAATACAGAATGAGCATCATCTCCCACCCTGGGCTTAGTTTCCTCCTAAAAAGCGAGGATAACAATGGCAACATCCATTGAGCACTTGCTGGGTGCGAGGCAAACTTCTAAATACTTTATGTATTATTTTAGGTAACTCATTTAGTTCTCACAACAACCTCCTAAGTTATAACATCCCCATTGTACAGATGAGGAAACGGAGCACAGAGAGGTTAAATAACTTGCCCAAGGCGAACCAGCTAGTGGACGGCGGGTCTCAGGTTTGAACGTGGCAGTCTGGCTCCGCAACTCAGGTGCTAGTAATGGTCGTTCCTTCCCCTCTTGCCTCCCCTTTCTTTCTCCTGACTGCTGAAATGCTAATTACCGATCAGTCTAATTCATTCCTCTAAACAGCCCCATGATTTCATTGGTTTAGATAACTGGGAAGTTATAGGGTTCAGTTGCCTTTTCTTCTTCTCTTTGTCCACTCATCCATTCACCCATCCCTCTGTCTGTCTGTCCATCCGTCCGTCCATCCATCCATCCATCCATCCATCCATCCATCCATCCATCTGTCCAAGATCAATGCAATATAAATAGTTACAGGGGTCGCACTTATGCTGTTAGCTTCTAACCTCTCTGAACATCAGTTCGCTCACCAGTATAAAACGGCATCATCATATGTACCTGCAGACTGCTCGTGAGCATTAAATGAGCTGTTTTATGCATCTCGTCTGGCTTGGAGTTCATATTACTCTATGTAGTTGAAAGAGACATAATTACATTGAAGAAAAACCCAAAAAACTCTACAACTGGTAAAGCTACAGATTTTACTAGTGTTCCCACCTTCACATTTCTCCTAAATCAGTTATATTTTAGTTTTAAAAAATTTAGTTTGTGCTGCACCCTGGGAGAAGATAATCCTCCTGATTTACACTGACTAAAGAGCCAGCGTCCACCGTGGCCACCCTGCTTCCTGTGATGGACGGAGCCATCTGCCTGTCAGCTGGCAGCGATTCGGGCCTGGCGGGGCGGCCTAGTCTTCTTCCCTTCCTGAGCTTACTGTTGACAAGTCCGGGCTGCTTCTCCCTGGAAGAAGAGGGTAGAAGGCGTTGGAAGGGGCCGGTTCTTCCTTGAGGGAGGCAGTAGAGGGGAAGTTGGCTTGGACCAGCCCTAGTGGCAGCTGGAATATGTATTGGCTTCTAGATAGTGTTGCAATAGCAGGGCCAAGGATGGCATTTAGAAATTTCTAGTCTCCTGTGCTTCTGATCCTGGGTGTGGTGGGGAGTGGGGGCCAATGGCCTTCTGCCAGAAAGAGCTTGGCATTCAGGCTCCTGCCTCCTGAGTTGTGAATGCTGTGTGTGTGTGTGTGTGTGCGTGTGTGTGTGTGTGTGTCTTTCTTTCTATAGACAGATTCTCCAGCCCGGTATCAGAAGGTCTGCAAAGAGGGGCAGAGGAGACCTTGATCAACCGTCTCCCCAACCACACCCCCATTCTTCCACTTTCTCCATGTTAAGTGGAGAACGGATTACAATTCAAAAGAAGTTGAATTGTCATACATTAGTTGCCTTACAACTCTCATCCAGGTAATAAGCTTTTAAAAGACAGTCCATATTACATAATCATCAATGGTAAGAGAAAGACACAAACCAAAACATAAGACAGACGAACCAAGCACAGGCTTAGGATATCTGCTGCAGTCACCTGCCTGGTGCCCCAGGAAGGAGGCCAACATTTCTCCATCACTCTCGCAAACGGAACAGGAGAGGGTGTAGTGAGCTGCAGTGTTGGTCCGGAGTCCAGGATGCACACTGTGTGGGACCCCTAGCCTGTGGCCCACAGCTGAGTCTGAGCGGAAAGACTGTCTGGCCTTCACAGAAAGCCACAGAAGCCACACCCATGGAAGGGTGCACGTGGGGGCTTTGATGAAGGGAGCCTTCCGAAGACTCAGAAGCAGGAGACTCCCCAGATTTTGTGTGGTGCCCGGGTGGAGTATCTGGACTATGAACTCAGCTGGAGAGGAGCAGTCTGTTGCTTCTGGAGTCTGAGGAGCAGAGAACATAGGGTAGGAATAAAAAGCCATGAGCCTGCTTTTATGAACAGCAAGGCTCATGGCACCATTTGACCTTGAAAGTGTAGCTGAAGAAGGAACTTGCAACTACCGACCAAGCACTTGTCCATTATCTTGACCCCCTGCTCAACCCTGAAGATCACACGGTTTACTCACTTCACACACACCTGTTGAGCGTGCACTTACCTGTGGCAGGTGCCCTTTGGGTGCTGGAGATACCTCAGTGCAAACAATCGACAATCCTGCCATCACTGAGTCTACCTCCTGGTGGGGTGACACGGAACATAAGTAAGTAAAAAGTATGGCATGTCGACTGCAGATAAGTGTCTGGAGAAAAACGAGGGACGGGAAAGGAATGTTGGGGAAAAGATCGTACGATTTTACTAGTTGTGGCAAATATGGGCCTCGCTGAGAAGACGATAGTAAAATAAAGATCTGAAGGAGGTAAAGGAGCAAGGCTTGAGAATAGCCAGAGAAAGAGTGGCTTAGGCAGAGGGAACGGCAGGAGCAAAGGCCCTGGGGTAGGGGCGGCTCATAGCGCCAGAGCGGACAGTACTAAGGGAAACTGGCTGGAGGTAATACAGAGAGGAGCGGGGATCATGCAGGCCCTTGTGGGCCACCTCAGAGCCTTTGTTTTTATCTTGACAGGGTATAGGCAGCTGTTGGATTGTTTCTATCAGAGAAGTGGCTTACGGCTTTATAGGATCACTTTCCCTGGGATGTGGAAGAGAGACCGAAATGGTGTTTGGCCCCTGCGGTGCGAATGTGGTGAGTTGGTCCCCAGGAGCAGGAGAGGACACCTTCCAGGCAGATATGGCGCGGGGACTTGCTCACAGCTGAGCCTGTCTGATATGACAAGCTGTTAATGCTGGGTACCTGGGAGGGAGGTCAGGTGAGGAAACAGCGAGATAAACTAACAAACGCCCTGCAGCAAAAAGAAAGGAAACTGCAGTGTGCATAATGCAATCGCATCTGTGTAAAATTGCACGCACACGTGTAAGGAGTGTGAGGTGTGTGCAGACTGGACATCGAAAGCAGGCAGTGGTTCTGTCTGGGTGGCAGGTGATCCCAACTTTTACCCCCAATACATCTCTAGATTGTTAAAAAAAATTTTATAATAAGTAGGGATTATTTATATAACCATGAAAAAAATCCAATAGAGCTATTTTCATTGTGAGAGAGTTAAACAGAGTCAGTGAGATGACTGAAGACTCCGTGGTTAGTTCTGTTAGTACAGTTTATGTTCTCAGACCCCCAGGAAACTGAACTCAAGTGTGGGATGTAGCTAACTGAATGGGGACGGTGATGACTTCTTCAGTTGGTGGAACAGCTAAGTTCACATTCGAACCTGCGGTTGCTTAGCTCCAGCAGGATTCAAGCCAGTTTGTTCTGGGTTTGGGAAGCGCATAGCTGCAGAGCACTTGTGTCTGTGCTACAGAGTTAACTATCAGCCCGTCAGCATCACTCCAAGTTCATTGCCGTTGAGAAATGTGACACTAGTAAGGGGAATGAACTGGAGATTCAGGGCCAGATCTTTCCAGGTGCCTGATTAAAAGTGAAGAAGCAATAAAGGAAGGAGCAGGTGCCACCGTCCAGAAATTCTGGGCCTGGGAGCAACACTTGCTCCCCACTCCCACACCCTTTCAAGGGAGAAATATAAAGGTCTTCAAAAAGCAGAGCGAGGAGGAGGCAGCAGCCGGGCCTTCCGATCTGACCCCCTGCTACGCTGCAGAATCCCCTCACATGAATAATTAACTCCCAATGGGCTGAGGAACCCATCTTCAGCAAGCAGAGATTTCATGAAAATTTAAAGGCTTGCGCTGAAGCCAGCTCTGCATGTTGTTTTAATGGCGGCTTAGATAGCTTTGAAAGCCCCAAGTGCCAGGATCCTTACGGAGGCCACTGTGACATCTGCCCAAGCCTTCGTGGGCCCCATTCCCTGGGGACTCTGCACAGGGGAAGGAGGCCTTAGCCCAAAGGTGAGGGTGCTCTCGATCCCTCTGCCGGATGGTGCTTGTGGGTGGGATACAGGTGTCCCCAGAGCAGTGGCCCCATGCTGTGCGTTACCAAGGCAACACCTGCTCCTCCTGGGACAAGGGAGGAAGGCAGTGCCGACAGAGCAGGATTTTGTGGGTTGACTTTCCAGAGGGATCTAGGCTAAAAATACGCCATAGCTGGCACTTGCAGGGTTTCGGGAGCCTTTGCCTTGGGGCACGCTCCCCAGCGGGTGAGGAGGGCAGGCGCGAGAAAACCCACGATGATGATGACTTTAACGCCTGTGGCTTGCAGGGGTAGGTAGGGTTGGTGTGAAGACAGATGGGGCAGCTCTTTTCCTGGCAGACACAGGGCCTGCTCGTGTGACCACGCCAGAAGTCATTAGCTTGGTCACTCTGGGCAGCCGGCTAGAACAACAAAACCGCTAGTAGCTTCTGAGGGCACCAGCCAGGTGCATGACGCTCTCGAGCCTGCCTGCCCGCCCCGAGTGGCTGCCAAGGGCTGAAGGGGCCTCCCAGGTCTCTGCCGGGCGTGGCCCGGGCCAACTCGGGCTTCGCTGACTCCGTGGTTTTCCCTCCCCTCTCCTCCCCTGCTGCTCCCGGGCTGGCAGCCTGTGCCCCTGAGGCGGCCCTCGGCTGGGTCTGCGTGCGCCAGGCAGGAGCACTTAGGTCAGCTTTGAGGTGACTGTCCCTGTAGTGCCGTGGGTGCCAGTGTGTTCCAGCACTCTGACCTCTGGGAGCCTCTGCCGGACAAGGACCTCCATGGCAGGCCGTTGAGTACAACCTCTGTGCCCTGTCCTAGGAAGGCGATGTGCAGACTTGAGACTGTGACTGAAGCACCACCTACCTGGTGACAGGACACTCCCGGGGGACTGCGTTGCAGTCAGAGGGCCCACTCCGCTCACACAGAGTTCTCCCTGGAGCCTCTGGGTTGGTGCTCCGCGAGCCTCATGTGCCAAATGATCACCAGGGCGCTTATTAAAGTGCAGGTTCTGACTCTGCAGGGCTCCCTGGGCCCGAGACTCTGCATTTCTGATAAGCTCCCAGGTGTTGCTGACATTGCATTTCTGTGGAGCAGCACCTGCCAGCAGGACGGCTCAAAGACAGTGGTTTTCAAACAGGGGACCGAATAGGAATCCCTAAGAGTCACTTTATTTTAGATTTTTTAAAATGTGTTTTTCAATTACAGTTTACTTCCAATATTATATTCATTTCAGATACACTGAATACCGATTAGACATGTCTATACCTTATGAAGGGGTCACCCCAATAAGTCTGACACCGTACATGGTTGTTATAATGTTACTGACTGTATTCCTTCCCCATGCTGTGCTTTCCATCCCTGGGACTGTTTTTATAACTGGGAATTTGTGCTTCTTAATCCCTTTTGCCTTTTTCACCCCTCCCACCAGCCCCATCCCCTCTGGAGACCATCAATTTGTTCTCTGGATCTATGAATTAGTTTCTGTTTTGTTTGTTCATTTATTTTGTTTCTTAGAGTCCACGCGTAAGTGAAATCCTATAGTATTTGTCTTTCTCTGTCTGACTTATTCACTTAGCATAATATCCTACAGGTCCATTCACATTGTTGCAAATGGCAGGATTTCATTCTTTTTTATGGCTGAGTAATATTCCATTGTATATATGTACTATATCTTCTTTATCCATTTGTCTGTCAGTTGACACTTAGGTTGTTTCCATATTTCAAGAGGCATTTTAAGACTCCAAAATCCTGAGACTCACCTGCAACCTCCTGACCTAGTCATCGTATGACAGCATCTCAGGAAGGCTAACGGGTGATGGGATGCATGACTTTGATTGGCAGCCACTGTCCTCAAGCCTTCAGGGTTTGGCTGGACATGGGCGAAAAGCCTCACCAAACCACTGCAGTTCAAACATTTCTCTATTTTTAGTAAGATTTACCCTTTGCAAACCTGGCCTACCATCGTTCATTCTTCAACAAATATTTATTAAGTCTCTTCTGTGTTTCCATAAGGGTCCATTCTTTTCCTTCTAGCTGGACAGACAGATGGCAGATGAGAGTCTGCTCCGTGCTTCCTAGGCTGCATGACTGAATTAGAGAACTCTCCAGTGGCTTGGGGCTCACTAGGTTGGTTTCCTTACAAGGTTACAGAGCTACTAATGTGTTCTTAATGAGCTGCCATTTACTTATGCAAATAGCAGGGCATAGATGCCAGGGGGATTAGGGCTTAGCGGAGAGGCCTGCCTCTGCATAGCCTCATGTTTCAACGCAGGAGCAGCTGTCCTTTCGCACCTACCCCTGCTTTTCATCTTTAATAGCTGCTGCTGTGCAGGCAGTGTGTTCGTGCATGCATAAGTGTGCATGTGTGTGCGTTTAGGGGTCTCACCAAGCCACCCTGGCATGAGGGCATCTGTACTAGCTGGAGGTCCTGGTGGGAGTCACAGACCTCCGCCTGCCCACATCTGCCTGTGTCTGGCCCCACAGGGCTCCGTGGAGACCAGTGTGCGTGGGAGGACGGGGACTGTTGAGCTGCATGATATAATGAGCTAGCGAGAGTCAAGCAGTGCTGCGAATTTCATTTTTGATTTTCAGGAAGAACTTTTAGTAAAGGTTCCCTTGTATCCTGTCAAAGGACAAAAAAAAAAAAAAAAAAAAAAAAAAAAAAAAAAAAAAAAAAAAAAAAAAAAAAAAAAAAAAAAAAAAAAAAAAAAAAAAAAAAAAAAAAAAAAAAAAAAAAAAAAATCACTGCCTTTATTTCTTTCCTCTTCTCCCAAGAAGCATCCTTATCACACAGGAGAAGATGCTGCTCTGAGTGTGAGGGTGTGAGGTCTCTGAATATGTAACGTGGTCGTGACATCGGTGCCGCCATCTTCATGGGCACAGAGGCGCATCTTGCAGGGGCTGCTGACGTTTGGTTTCACGGGCATTGTCTAAAGAGCCGAATCGTCCTCTCTCCTCACTTCCAAGAGCTCTGGGACGCCTGCCTTCCCTGGCATCTCATCAGCACAGCTGTGCTCCCACTCTCCTGCAGAAACTGGCTGGTGCTACCTCAGATGTCTCTGTGCTCACTGCTAGGAACAGGCTCTCCCTACCTAGCCGGCCTGCCCTGTAACCTGTGGGAACTGCCTGCTGCTGAAGACTCACCGATGCTGCCAGGTGAGGCTCTTCCCATCACTTCCTACAGATGCCACACTTGTAACACAGCCTTCCTGTCCCCACGTCCCAGGCCTCTCCAGGCCCTGACCCAGCCTCTTCTCTCTCTGTGGCTGAGGGACTTCTCTGCTGTGAACCGGGTAGCTTCTTCTGGGAATCTAGCCCAGCAGGAGGCGTTGAACACCAAGATGTCAGGAACAATGAGGACATTTTTGGTCTGTGCCTGTTCTCGCTGGCTCAGGAGCTGGCCCCTCTCATCAAAAGTGTGTGTCTTACGTGGGGTGAGCTGACACCTGCTTCTCCAGCGGAGAGAAGGCTGTGTGGCAGTGTGGGTTTCAGTCCTGGCTCTCACTTAAGAGTCATGAGAATAAATCACCTTGTCTCACGGGGCTCTGCCAACGGGGAGGTTGGTCTGGCCTTATCTGGTCCTCACAGATTTAAAAAAGCAGAAAAACAAGAACAAAACAAATAACATTAAGAAGTCAGAGGTTTCATATAAAAGTATGGATTTCGTAGAAAAGTATATAGATTTCTTCCTTCTCTAGAAAAATGAACGTATTTGGCAGCGTCACTGCCCCCTGGCAGCAGGTGGCTGGAGCTGGCAACCGCTGCCCCTTCTCTGTGGCTCTGCTCTGTGG